GATGTCACATGGCCCTTTCGTGGCTATGCCTATGCAACCTTTTTCCAAACGTGGTCCTGGCAGAGAACAATTCCTCCCGTGGGTTTCGAACTCGCAACCTTACACTTGCAACCTGGGAGCACTAACCACTGTGCTATCGACCCACAGGTCAAGGAGGACTTTGAGAAACGATTAATATGTAACCGGCTTAAGCGTGAGAAAACTCTGTGATGAAAATTGTTCTTGGTATATATCATTACAAAAATCCGCATATACTGTAGTTATTCCCCGTCTCAATATGATCGCATGACGGGGATTTGCGTGTTATTAATCACAATTTTTATCACAAATTTTTTATTTTTTTTCTTATTTATTATCACCCCGCGGGGAAATAACAAATAAAAAAAAAAAGACAAAAATTTGTAATAAAAATTGCGATTAATAAAATGTAAATTCCCGTGCCGGGGAAATAAATAGTACTTATTCCGAAACATTTTAAAGAATAGGACTTTAGCGATAAGAGTAGTCAATTACATCAAATATACATTGTTAAATACAATACGCATCCCACATACTGTACACATGTATAAAAGATCCTAAAAATTCAATACAAGTATTTTTCAACATCATCGCATAAAACTTTATTTTTTCACTAAATTAATAAAATTACGATATCATTTGTATAATACAAGTAATATTCACGATTCGAAATCTTTTTTATCATTTCTGCCAGATCGAATTGGAGAATGATCAAGATCACTATTTTCATTTGCATCTTTAATACCTCTATCTTTATTTGGTGTAAATGGATTCGCTGGAAGACTTCCGGAAAGTTTTGATGATTCAAACAAATTATCATTATGTTCATCTCTCAGCTGAAATATTGTGTTGGAAGTTTCCAATAATCCACACTGTGTATCAAGAGACTGATAAGGCAATGACGAAGTATTATGGAATAATTATAAGCCATATACAACATACTATACCTTGAGATCCCAAAGGAGGATAATGAAATCAAAAATATGCTTACGATGTTCTTCATAACAAATTGGTACAATTGACTTATGTGATCGTTCGTATTGCAGAACACCACAGGACGGGTTATGCATTTGCCACAATTCAATGCGATCAGGTTAAATAAAAATTATTGAAAAATAAGAAAAAAAATTTTTTAAAAATACTTTCCATAGGTGTGTAATGAAAAAACTCTTAACTTCGAAAAAGTTTCAGGAGAACCACCTCGAAACTGCTCACCAATTTCTTCCAACATATAAGAGTTGCCAATCGGTAGCTTACAACACCCATCCCAAGTAGAACGAGGAATATCTTTATACCCATATCCCCCACTCATTTCTAAGTGGCCTATTTCTATTAATGATTTTTTCAATTTTACGGTAAAGACGCCATCAGATTTTTGTTCATAAGAGCTGGTACATTTTCGTCGACTTCTGCAAGATTTAACTGATGATAAAATGACTTCCCCCC